GAACTAACAAACCAATGTCGATCCGTCTAATGATTTTTGCCTCACCGCCACATACATATACCTATTATAGTTTTAAAAATATTCACGATGTTACAACTGTTACTTTTGTCCCCGGTCTCCCTTACATTCGTTGGAACATTTATCAAAAAATTATCGTTGATTTCCCTTTGATCATCAAATAAGAGTCGAACGACGTTTGGTTTAAAATAGGTTTTAAAAAGTCGCTAAAATAAGAAGTGTAGTACAAGACAACGCTCGCGGCTAAGCTTTCCCGAGCTAGATCGACTTCTTAGCGATCTAGTCGTACTTAGCGGAAGATGTACAGTGACATTTCTCTCTACCTTCAGGCAAAGACTACCAGTATAATGGAATAACGGTCAGCTTTCCAACCGGAACCAATCTTGTCGAATGACCCTTTGTCGTCGACTTGTCTTTCAACGTTCAGAGTGAGTCGACGGATAAACGAAAAAGACGTAGCTGACCTAAAGCTAAAGGCAAATTGCCCTCACGAAAATGCTTAGAACATATATTACTGGAAGGAGAATAGAGTGTTGAACGTGAAGCCAACATCTGTGCGAGAGAGAAAGGCATAAATTCCCAATTGCTTGTAATGCACATGTGCCATTCAGCCCCCACTCAGCCCGTTTTGCCTAATTTCTTATTTTTTGAAAATCTTTAAAAAAAAAAGAAAAACGGGGCTAAGTGAGGGCTGACTGGCACATGCGCATTACAAACAATTTGGAATCTATACCTTTCTCTCTCGCACAGATGTTGGTTTCAGCTCGATGCATGGACGGTATAGGCAATTCTCCTTCCAGTAATATATGCTCTAAGCAAAAGTGCTATCGCAGGAAGTGACAATTGAATTAAGCCTTATAAAAACAAAAGGTAAAATACCATATGTCGCAAATTGAAATTAACGTCAACCATTTTCTCATTAACTTTATCCTCATTTGTGTTCTGTACAGAATTTATCTTAAATAGCGTTTATTAATTATGTGGTGTTATTCCTTGTAAGAAAAATAAAAGCCTAAAAGGTCCTAAACCATTTTTTTCTACAATGCTCAATGACGTGATTACTAATAATCACTACTGCAATTACTGCTTCATTAAGCATTGTAAAAAAGATGGTTTTTAAATAGCGTTACCAATCATATAGCACTATTTCTTATAAAAATCAATTGAATCAAAAAATCTTGAACCATTTTTTTTACAATGCTCAATGAAGTAATTACTGCAGTAATTACTGCATTGTAAAAAATGGTTTAGAATTTTTCGATTCGGTTTTTTTTACAAGGAACGTTATATAATAAGTGAGTACTACATAAGATACATTCTGTATATCTAATTATCTTTTCAATTGTAAGATTTTTTCAAGCTAATTTTTTTCCCTTACTGGTCTAATTATCTTAGGCAGCTTGCGTTATCAAAGTTGATTTATATCTTTTTTCCCTATCTAAAAAAAGGCATGACATCGATAACTCTCATCTCTCGAAAATATTGTTGCCGCTTTTCCGTGATGCTGATTGGTTTTCTTGCTGCGCTTACTTCGTAAGCGGCTGTTATTGCGGAGATCATTGCGGAGATTTTGTACTAAGGTTATTTATTTCATGTTGTGTCATTATTTAATTAGTTGTAATCATTAGCGCGCGTGTGTAGTGTCTGGTGATTCTTTTCCGCGCACTGATTGTCGCTGATTTCTCTGACAGGGCCTGTCATCGCTAAGATTATCTATGCCAGTTATATCAGATTGTGAGGGATTAAAATTCACAGTGTATTTTACTAAATACTACAATTTTTATTTTTAGATTTATATGAATGTCAGATAAGTTTCTATATAAGTTTTATTACATGGATGCAATCCTGATTTAAATTTTGCTTATTCTACAAAGATGATTCTCCACGATGTAAAATAATCGATCATCATTTCAAGATTTATACGAAAAAACATACCGAAGCGAGATTCTGCAAATTGAACGTTAAGAGATGTCTCTTTCTAAAATACATATGTTTTGACAATGGCATACTTAAGTTTGCTAATAATATTTATTTGTGCATTACAGATAAGAATTGCGTATAATTATATTAATTGTGAATGGCAAAACTAAGGATTATAACGTGGGTTTTACTGAATTAGAAAACTGTGATGATTTTTTTACATAAACATTGCAATGCTATGTTGCACAGTCTGATGTGATCAATTATGACGATAATGTGCAATCGTCAGAAGAGAAGCGTAACAAATAACAAATACATTTTTTATTTGTTTAAATTTTGTGTAAATTTTATTTATAAGACTGTTCGTATGTATCACATATATCACGTATATATTATAACATATCAGAACATTACTATAAAACTAATCAGAACTGAATCGAAAAGTCCTCTACCATTTTGCGATTTTCACAATAATTATTGAGATACTAACCATTTAAAAAAAAATTTGCTTTACTATGAATTTTAATAAGCAAAAATATATATACATAGATATACAAGTACCATATAATCATTACAAAAGATGATGTCTTGATTCAGATTTAACAGAAATTCTCAATTAACTTTCTCTTGATAATCTTGATTACTTAAAAAATAGATATGTATGTATATATGTATAATGTCGGTCAAAAGTTTTTAAATGTATTAATAATAATCATAATAATCCAAATTATGATTTTAGAAGTAAATATCACTAATTTATAAATTTTATTAAAATACAAGATGAGGCAGTAATTATGACAATCTTATATATTTTAGAATTTATGATATCCAGAAAAAGATATGTCTAATCAAAATTATACGGAAGAGGCTCCATATGATTATAATAATTTTTGTCCAAGTTGATGTGCTTTGAAGATATCAAGATCAATTTCTCAATTTATAAATTTCTTTACATTTCTAAAATGGATTCGAGATATTTTCTTCCATAATAAGTCCTTTAATAATTCTATTTGTAAAAGTATTAAGATAAAGTTAACGAAAAATCAATAATTCCAAGATATTTTATACTTTATTATATTATATTTTAATATAAAGTATAAAATATGTTATAAACTATTCATTTTTTGATAAGTATTTTAGTATTTTTATGCATATAATTATGAGATGAATTACTTAATATAAAAAAAACACAATTACATTTTAAAAAATTATATAATTTACAATGTACAATTACATATTTTCTGAAAAATAATATGTTTTCTTTACACCACACTAATTAATTCTCATTATTCAGTACATAAAAATATTAAGATATAATTATTGAAAAATTAATAGTTTACAAGATATTTTATATTTTATGTTAAAATATACTATAATAAATATCAAATTTCTCTAAAAATATTGACTTTTCAATATTTTTATCTTAATACTTTTATATGCCGAATTAAAAGAATCAAATTATGGAAATAAAACGTACCGAATCTATTTAAAAAAATGGTCGTTAAAATAAGTGCGAAAAGTTAACCAATTTTAGTAATTAATGAAGCAAGTAAAATTGAATAAGAAAAAAGGTGAATCCAATTCATTGCATGCTTTTCAAATCGCCTAAAATGCATGAATTCCTTTGTATGTAAATACTTTTATGTTGTTTGTCTAATCAAATACTTAGCTATTTATACATATTAACTAATATTTGTTTCTGAACAATCTCAATATTTTTAAAAAGGTTTTTTAGGGTACATCATCAACATTTATATATTTATATTGTACATATGTATATATATATATATATATATATATATATATATATATACTATATACATATACAGGGTGTCTCATA